CAAGCAGCATTACCTGCACAAAACTGGAAAATTGAGAGCGCATCCCCTGAGGGGAGAGGTGAGCCTAGCCAGGCAAAACACAGACGGACAATACAATGACCGGACTGGGGAAACAAACTGAAACACGGACAAAATATAGAGGGCTAATGAAAACAACCAGAAACAGCTGATCACACGGGGTTAACGATGGGGCGTGGCACACGGAAGAAGCGGACGATCGGGGCAGGACACATTGTTTTTTTTTTTTTACTTTACACGTTATTTTATTACTTTACAAATTACTGTTTCAATAAATGTGCTTAGATGTGTTTAGTACGGTATATGCTCTTCTTGTTTTATCCGGTTCATTTTGTGTTTAAATGCTAAAAAAAACATTTAGGTATAATTTTTTGGGGCCGGGAACCAATTAATTGGTTTTCCATTATTTCTTATGGGGAAAATTTGATCACAACTCAAAGTTTTTAGGATTCGATCCGGAGTTCTGAACGGTTTAAATTCGAGTTCTGAGGTACCACTGTACAATTTAGAAAAATTCAAGAACAAACATTTATTGGACTGACTGTGATAATGAACTGTCAACTGAGTGGGTCTGGTGGTGCTTCTCAATGTGTCATAATCGAGATAATCACTGGGAGCACTGGTAGGGCTTCTCTCTCATGTGTATCCGCTGGTGCTTCTTTAGGATGTCTAATCGACTGAAGCTCCTCCCACAGTGGGAGCACTGGTAGGGCCTCTCTCCTGTGTGAATACGCTGGTGGATCTTTAGGGTTCCTAACTCACTAAAGCTCTTCCCACAGTGGCAGCACTGGTAGGGCCTCTCTCCTGTGTGAATCCGCTGGTGGATCTTTAGGGTTTGTAACGCAGTAAAGCTCTTCCCACACTGGGAGCACTGGTAGGGGTTCTCTCCTGTGTGAGTCCGCTGGTGTCTCTTTAAGCTTCCTAACTCACTAAAGCTCTTCCCACAGTGGGAGCACTGGTAGGGCCTCTCTCCTGTGTGAATCCGCTTGTGGATCTTTAGGTTTCGTAACACAGTAAAGCTCTTTCCACACTGGGAGCACTGGTAGGGCCTTTCTCCTGTGTGAATCCGCTGGTGTGTCTTTAGGTTTCCTAACTGACTAAAGCTCTTTCCACACTGGGAGCACTGGTAGGGCCTCTCTCCTGTGTGAATCTGCTGGTGCTTCTTTAGGTTTCCTAACTGACTAAAGCTCTTCCCACACTGGGGGCACTGGTAGGGCCTCTCTCCTGTGTGAATCCGCTGGTGCTTCTGTAGGGTTCCTGACTGACTGAAGCTCTTCCCACACTGGGAGCACTGGTAGGGCCTCTCTCCTGTGTGAATCTGCTTGTGTCTCTCTAGGTATCCTAATCGACTGAAGCTCTTCCCACACTGAGAACACCGATGGGACTTCTCTGTGAGAGTCTGCCTGTGTATTTTACAGCCTCTGTTTATATTAAAAGTCATCTCACCCTGGGAACCCTGTTGTGCTGTCAGTGTGTCTGTACTGGCTACTTCCAGGGTCCTGATTGTGTCTGTACTGGGCTGAGTGGCACTGGGGCCAGCAGAAGTTGGTGAATCCTGGGTTGTGTTGACAGATCCAGTCCTCAGCTGTCTGATATACTCCTTGGGGTGAGATATTTTGATATGTCTGTGCAGGTCAATGTCTGCAGTGTAGGAGAATGGATCCTGAGAGCAAGCAAAGGTTTGGGAGGATTCATCCACTCTCCTTGCTGAGGGAAGATGGAGACACAGCAGTCAGTACTGAGATGGAACAGGGTTAACAGAGAAAAATAATCAGGAAAATAGTGAACATGGCAAACACATCTTCCAAAGAGCCTTCGTTACTCCACACACAGTTCATATTCACAGTGTGCTATTCACACTGCAATCTCTGACATGCCTGAACTAAACTGCACAGAGTATCAACACTGCTGGTTTGAAATGGCAACATGAAGTACAAACTATTACCTCCAAATACACCAAAACTGCGGTTTTGATGGTAGTTACAATTGCACATATGCTGGTAGTTAAAATCACCTGGGTTTGGAGGTTTCACACACTCTCTGCTCCTCTCATCAGTGTGTAATGAAAGAGAACCAGTCAGCTCCTCCTCAGTCACATCCTGAACCGCTGCGTCCTTCATCTTCAGCCATAAAAACCAAACAAGGCAGAATAAGCCGTTCACTTCATAAATTTATACAGGCTGTTGCTATTTGCTTAAAAGAGAAATAGAAGCAGAGAGCAAACTAGACCCACATACACTCCATTTCACCTTTTGGGGGCTCTCGTTCACAGTCCCTTCAACCTCAGATACCAGGAATTCCCCCTCCTCTTTGTTACCCTCTCCGACTCCCTGCTGGGAAGGTTTCTGGTTCGTGTGGCAGCTGATTTCACTGCAGGAAGGAGTCTGCTGAAACCAAAATGAAATTAAACACTGAGACAGTGCCAGTTAATCAGTGTGTTGTAATGCACAGCCAGCAACTGCTTGTGTTGCGCACAAACAGACCCTCCTTCCCTGGTCTGTGGCATATGATTCTGACCTCACAAGTAGGGGTTTCGTTCTGATCGGACCACCAGAATACAGGTTGGAAAACTCCTGGATACCGAAGATACAAATGAACATTTCAGGCAGACTGCGTCACTCTAGGGTATATCCACAACATTCCTACTTAGTGTTCTGGTCATCTATAGGCGCTTTCAACATCGCTGGAAGTATTTCCGGAACCAGAACCTTTTCCCAGAACCAGTTACCTTTGTCATGTTTACACTCTAAGAACGCAGCACAATTGTAGTTCCTTGGAGGCAGTTCCAGAACTCTTTTCTAGTACCTACTCCAGACTAGGTATGATTTGCTCAAACACAAACTACTGGGGAGGCACTTAGAGCGATTAACTTGCTGAATGGTCGACCACAAGCACCAGCACAAACTTGGAAGTTACAAATAAGTGCAGAAAATGAGATGCAGCAGAGCAAAAATTGAGCAGACACAATTGGGGTACAAAAATAATTCCATTTATGTATCAAGTAATACATTTTTTGCTTGCATCTCCAAATGTCTGCATCAGAAA